GCTAAATTTTACAATTTTTTTTAATTGATATTTTTCCATTAATTTTAAAAGTCTTGTAGCGTATTGGTTAGAGCACTTGACTCACAAGAGGACCTGGTTTTGTTTTCTGGGCAGGACGAAATCTTAGGCAAGTTTCCTTAATCCACACGCCTCTGTTTACCTAGAAACCCAGTTGTTAGTCGATGGACGAATCGTTTATGGGCGTAAGAATCCCTCACAAAAAATAATTAAATAAATTTGGTCACTCAATACAGGAAGTTTGTGGGACACTACTGAGTGCAATTGGCTGCTGCTTTTCACCCACAAAATATACAATCAAGCTACTTTACAATATATTCTGTGAATGGTTTTGAGACGTCAAGGTGCTATATTGAATGCAAAGATTATTATTAAATTCTCCTCCCTGGCCACCTCCCAGTGCAACAATTCCACTTTCAGTGAATGGGTGGGAAGGTTCCACACCATTATCTTTGCCATGATGAGTCCTGCAAGAGCCTGTTTCACTGATTCACTCTCTGTGTGGAGGCTTGCCCAGTGGTTGAAGTTTAATATCCTTGTCCTGGATGTCAAACACTTTCATGGTTTCACCCCTTCCTAACTATACAATCTCCTCCAAATTGACTATGTGTTCGCCCTCAAAATACACAGTCAATCGACTTTACAATATAGCATGTGAAGCGCTTTGAGACGCCTTATCGACGTGATAAGGCGCTATATAAAATGCAAGGATTATTATTGTTATAATTATGCATTCTGGCACTCTCTTCCAAAATCTCTGATTTACTTCGTCTCTCCTTTCATTCAAAACTTTCTTTACAATTCCTTTCACCTGTTTTTGCTTTTTGTCAACAATTCTCCATCTGCTTCTCTCTCTCTCTCCTATTTATTGGTACTCATTTTGTTGCGTAAGTGCAAGTTGTTGACTGTTATTTTTCTCCACTGCGGATTTCTGCTCAATGCTGCATCTTGTGGCGGAATTGGATAAACTCACTAAGTGACTCAACAATTCAATACAGGCTCAATACAACTCAATGAACACCCAACCCGCAGGGCTTGTAACCCAACACCGAGCAGTTTTTATTTTTCATTTTTTTATTAGAAAAGGCTTCTAAAAAGTCCTAATATGAACTTGAGAGAAGACCTGTCTAAAATTCCACCCAATCTTAGCCTACAGTAGTTAACATGTAAGATCTCTGAATAAGATTGTGGAATTTTTTTAAAATCAGTCTTAATTTGGGAGCCCTTTTTTTCTGACCAGTGGAAAAGTGGATTTTCAAATTAAAATTAAATGTGAGAACTTTCTACAATTCTTCACAATCTTAAATTTTAAGAAAATATGATTTTACAGGCTGAAACAAGCAGGAAATCTCATAAACATGTAGCCTGTTGCTTATTAATAATAATATTTGTATTTGATATAGCATTTTATCACATTGTTGAGACGTCTCAAAGTGCTTCACAGAATATACTGCAAAGTGAATTGACTGCATATTTTGTGGATGAAATACGGCAGCCAATTGAGCACAGCAGTGTCCCACAAACAGTTGTGGATTGAAGCTTAATAAACTACTACAACTATGCAAAAAATTAGGGATAAAAATGCATACTATACACTGAATACTATATAAATATACTGAAGGGAGCACAGTATGTTTGAGGGGAAAAAATGTTCTGTTATCTCTCAGCAATGCACCTAAAGTTTTATACAAATTAATACTTTCTTAAATCTACTCTCTTGATCTGTCTTTGAACCATTATTACTAATTATTTGAGTCCCATAGATTTTTATTGTATTTTTGTCTGTTTTCTTTTTACCTTGGCAACGGTTCAGTGCAGTATGGCGGGTTTCACGTTAGCTCATCTGACTGACTCTTTTGTTAAACAATTTGTACATACAGGATCCAGCAAAAGCTTTTTTTTGTCCTAATATGACCTTGTTTGGAAAGTGAATCATTGGATAATGTGGTCTAATGACATCTAAATAAACTCTGCTGTTTTACTCCCAGTTGAAGTCGATTTACTCAATACACAATTTCAAATCTCTGGCAAGCTTTCCCGCTGCTCGTCCAACTGGGACCACCCGACCAGTTAGGGCTTTGCTTGCAAGGCCAACGGCAGCTGAGTGGGATGATTCTCTACCCCTGGTGACTGGTCTGCCCTTTCAAGGGCTACCAGTGGAGTCCTGTAACTCAGTGGTTAGAGCACTCGCTTTGCAAGTGAGAGACCTGAGTTCAATTCCAGGCAGAGGGCGAAACCTTGGGCAAGTTTCCTTACTCCACACAGAGCCTAATAATAATCCCTCCAAAACCAAAAACAATAATAAATTGGTCATTTTCAATCTACGACTGTTTGTGGGACTTTGCCCACAAATATACAGTCAATTCACTTTACAGTGTGTTCTCTGAAGCGCTTTGGGACGTCCTCCCGACGCTATATCAAATGCAAGGATTATTATTATTATTATTATTACCGATGAGCCAGGCTGGGCTGTGCTGTCATCAGCAGTGCCTTGGATTACTGCGGACCTGCCTGGCTTAGGAACCAAACTACCAAGACCGCCACAGAGGGCTGGTTCGATTCCGACATTGCATTCCATGCCACAAAAAGGGCAGCAATTGGGCAAGGGTAGAAATTTGACATTTGCGAAAAAAAAATTTAAACCAATTGATTTTCACCCATTGATCGGTGAAAATCTGATTTATCAGTGAAAATTATTTTGAAATGTTCCTTCTCCAAGGGACAACATGCAGAACTGGGAGCTCAGGCCCAATCTTCCATAGCCTGTGACAGAGAGACTAATTTAGTACCGTCCATCCAATTTAGAATATCCCATCGCCTTCTTGCACACATTATAAGGTAATCCAGAACAAGGGGGCCTAATCTTAAAATTAGACCTAAACCATTTAGGAGTGAAATTAGGCAGCAGCTTTTCATCCAAAGGGTAGTGGAAATCTGGAATTCTCTGCCCCAAAAGGCTATGGATGCTGGATCCATTCACAATTTTCAAGACGTAGGTAGACAGATATATGTTTGGTCAGGGTATTAAGGGATATGGGGAGAGGGCGGGTAACTGGACTTGAGTTACAGATCAGCCATGATCTTATAAAATGTCGGAACAGGCTCGAAGGGCTGAATAGCCTACTCCTGTTTCTATGTTCAGTATTTTTGTTATGTTCTGTGCAGCTATAGATATGAATGTTCTATATTAGTTACATAGTCTGTGTATTTTAAATATTTATTTATTCAGTGGTCTGAATTAAGTGTTAATTAGATGACTAAATGAAGACAAGTGGTAAAGAGTGTATATTCCATGTTTATAGGTTCATGTTTAAACAGCTAAATATGCTTGAAAAACATAAATGCATCTAATATTCTAGGTGGTTTATTTGAATATTTCAGTAGGTTACAATAAAAACAGCGGTTGTATGATTTACATCTTCAAATCCATAGTTCAAATGCAAGGATTATAATTATTATTAATACGAAATACAGTAAATGGAGCCATTCTGATCTTATGTTGATTCTCCACATCATTTTATGTATTCTAAACTTAAATCCTCTTAAAGTACAAAGTAAAGAAAAATTCCTTGCATGAAGGATTATACACCGTTGGTTGATGCTAGATTAATCCCTCATATAGGGCATCATCAGCCGCGACAGAAGCTAGGAGAGAAATGGACAAAACAGTTCTGCTTAGAGATAAGTCATGTGTGTGGCTGTGTACTAAATCCATACAACGTGGCACAAACAGTTCTGTACAAAAACACAATGAAACATAGAAAGAAAGGTTCAGTCTCAATATAATCGGGATGTAACTCGAAGAGATCATTTTTGAGGGATTTCTAGTTACTGTATAAACCCACCGGATAAATAAAAGGCTAAAATGCCAATTATTATTTGTGCTGAACAAATAAAAGATGCACAACAAGGAACGATGAGAATGCATATTTTACCTAGCATGTGAAATGACAAGTGATCTTGAATATGAAATAAATTCTATATCCCTAATTTTTTCATTGAGGATTCAGTTTAAACCATTTGTGACATAATTAGCCGCATAAACCATTGTAACCACTGTGGAGTCCTGTAACTCAGTGGTTAGAGCACTCGCTTTGCAAGTGAGAGACCTGAGTTCAATTCCAGGCAGAGGGCGAAACCTTGGGCAAGTTTCCTTACTCCACACAGAGCCTAATAATAATCCCTCCAAAACAAAACAATAATAAATTGGTCATTTTCAATCCACAACTGTTTGTGGGACATTGCTGTGCGCAATTGGCTGCTGCGTTTGCCCACAAATATTCAGTCAATTCACTTTACAGTGTGTTCTGTGAAGCGCTTTGGGACGTCCTCCCGACGTGAAACGCGCTCTATCAAATGCAAGGATTATTATTATTATTACCTCTCAAGCAAGAGGACTTGGGTTCGAATCCTGGCAGGGCAAAATGATGGGTAAGTTTCCTTACTCCACACGCCTCTATCTACCTAGCAGTAAGTAGGAACCCGGTTGTTAGTCGATTGGTGGATCACGTTTCCCTCCCCAAATTTTTTTTTGTAAAAAAATTACCTGCTTGGTGGACACTGCTGTGCGCAATTGGCTGCCACATTTCACCCATAAAACATAGTCAATTCACTCTACAGTATATTCTGTGAAGCAGTTTGTTTCGAAGACATGATAAGGCGCTATACCAAATGCAAGAATTATTATTATAACATTGCTGTGTTCTACCTCCAGTTTTGCTCTTCTAAGTTTGTTGGGCACTGTTGCAAAATTAGGAATTTGGATTTTATTTCACCCACATCACTTGTGACTTCACATGTGGGTTCAAAGTTTGTTTCTCCCAGTATCCTGGCCAACAATTCCTCCAAATAAAATTAATCATCCGCTTGATGGCTATTAGTGGGACATTACTGTGCACAAATTGGTTGCTGCGTTCACCCACAAATCCAGTCACTCCACTTCACAGTAAATCCTGTGAAGCACTTTGGGACATTCTCCTGACATGAAAGGCACCATACCAAATGCAAGCATTAATTATTATTAGACCGTGAGTACCTATATAGAGGCGAATCTTGTTCTCACTGGTCCGGTGACCAGTGCTACTTGCAGCAGAATTGACGATGGCGGCTCTTAATAGGATTTGGTGCATCATATAACGACTGAAATTTCAGCCTCTGAAGTTCACACATGAGCACTTTCCAGTTGGTGTCACTGGGCACTGGGCTATTAACAAGAATGAAAACCCCTTCTTATTTTTGTGTCCCTCAGGCCAAGACTAAGGCTATTCTAGCACCCTGATGATATGTCTGAGATAAATTAGACGCATTAGTGGATTGAATATAGGACCTTCTGAGTTTGCTTTGCTCAGTTTCCCTCGAGGAAGTGGCTGTATAAACTTAAACCATTGGGGAAGTTAAAATATTATTTTTAACAATGTGGAAATAAACCCTGAAGGGAATGATTTTTTTTGTGGTTATCCAACTGTAATGGAATAACAAAATGTTACTCAATGACCACCTCCCTGTTCCATTTACAATACAGTATATTTTGACTCACTTAGCAAAGTAACAATATAATAATACAAAAAGGTTACCAGGGAAAGAACAGGGAATTAAGATTAGACGATATATCTGCAGTGGAGGAACTGTAATCAGCATAGATTCTACGTTTTTCTTCTGTGCTGTAATGTCAATAATATGTCTGTCCCTGATTCACACAGTTTACACCTAACTCCTGCCCATCTCGTTGTTTGTAGAGCAGACTTAATGGAAAGAAAACATTGGTTTCATTACAGTAATTCATTGGAACTGTAGCATTCTTTTCTGTGTCATTTTTATTTCACGGGATCAATTGGACAAAGCTAGAATATGTCTCTTTATTAGTTTGACATAGGAATCAATTACAAGGCAACACATTTAGCCAGCCTTCTGCATTATAAAATCAATTATTTTATAACACTTGATTAATAATTCTATGTATCAAAAATAAGACTGCCATCTCATACTAGACCAAAGTGCACCACTTTCAGAGTATTGCTGCTTCCAATTTCCTGTGGAGAAAGAATACGTTTTTTAATGGGTCTTTGAAATGACAGAGCAACAACTAATTAAATAATCTCAAATTAATTGACAATGATTACACCATGTTATCTGACATAGTAAATTGTTAATAAAAGGGAATGCTTGAATAATCTCATTATTTCACTCTGTACAGTATCTAATAAAGTCATTTATGTGGCTTCAAATATTTTATATTTAAGAAAATCATTTGAAACATCTTAACACAACTGGTATTTTTGATTTCGTAGGACACTCAAAGGGTTTCTTTTGGACGTGCATTAGTTCAGTGCAAACAACATCAATTATTTCACCATTCTACCATTTTGCTATAAAAACAGATTTCAAGAGTACATGTTGTAGAACTTTTTTTTCCAAAACAATGTATTCTTGTAACCGATATTTGCATAAACAATAGTTTTATAAACAAAAATTGTATTGCAAAATCATTTAAGGAAGTGGTTATGAAATACGGCATGGAGTGTGTGGTGCTGGGTCCACAATGGTGTGTGACAATTGGCCACAGTGTCCCAGAGGTTGCATAGGCTGCCAATACCCACGATCAATGTTCATACATGAATAATGGCTACTTGTGCAGTGTGCTGGACTGTAGCCATCACCTTGAAATCATAAGCCATTTTGTTATTTCACCGTTTTCCTCCAGAATATTTTCACGTTAAACATCTTTTTTTTTTCTTCGTTTTGCTATTAGGTATTAGGATGATTGTACACTGGTACCAATTGGACAAAGCTACACGACGTCTTATCAGATTGATAATATAGGAATAAATTAAAAGGCAACACATTTAGCCTACCTTCTGCATTCCAATATCAATTATTTTATAACACTGTAGAACACTTGTAGTTTGAAACTACAATTGTGTTTTGCAGTTTAATTGCTATTTTGTTCCTTTTTTTAAAACTCAAATTGATTAAAGAACAACAAAAACAAGATTACATTTGTACAGCGCCTTTCACGTCGGGAGGACGTCCCAAGGCGCTGGACAGAGTACAGCATTTCAGACCCGAGCTGGGCTCGGGGGGGGGGGGGAAGGGTGGGGAAGGGGGGTGGCCGATGACATGGTTGAAGAGGAGGGTCTTGAGGCGGGATTTGAAGGAGGCTAAGGAGGGGGAGAGACGGAGTGACTGGGAGATGGAATTCCAGAGGTTGGCAGCAGAGTGGCTGAAGGCTCTCCCGCCAATAGTGGGGCAGGTGGGTCGGGGGACGTGGAGCAGGCCGGAGCCGGCTGAGCGGAGGAAACGGGTTGGTAGGGGGTTAGGAGGTCACAGAGATAGGGTGGGGTGAGGCCATGGAGGGCTTTGTACGTGAGGACCAGGATCTTGAACTGGATCCTCTGAAGGATAGGGAGCCAATGGAGTCGGGTGAGAATGGGGAAGATGGGGTTACAGAGTTTGGTGCGGGAGAGGACACGGGCTACAGAGTTCTGGATTATCTGCAGCCTGAGGAGGGAGGAGTTGGAAGGCTGACAAGCAGTGCGTTTGCATAGTCGAGCCTGGAGGTGATGAAGGCATGAACAAGAGCTTCAGTGGCCTGAGGGGTGAGGTAGTGGCGGAGTCGGGCGATGTTACGGAGGTGAGGGAAGGCAGAGCGGGTCATGGCTTGAATGTGGGGGAGAAAAGATAGTTGAGGGTCGAATAAGACACCTAGGTTCCTGACTGGCATGGCGAGTTGAAGCGTGCAACCATGGAGGTTGATGGTGCCAGAGCCTGAGGTTGAGGCGCTGGTGTGAGCCAATCAGGAAGGCCTCAGTCTTGGTTCACATTCAACTGTAGGAAATTTGTCCTCATCCAGGACTTGATGTCCGACAGGCAGTCTGGAAGTTGACCCCATGTCTGTGGATAATGTCACCAAGACATGTAGATATTAAAGAGAGGGCCAAGGACAGAGCCCTAGAGGACACCAGATGTGACAGTGTGGGGGCTGGAGAAGAAACCGTTAGAGGCAACAAAGTGGAGACGGTGAGAGAAACATGAATCGAACCAGGCAAGGGCAGGTCCGTGAAGACTGAGTAAAGCGGAGAGACGGTTTATGAGGATGGAGTGGTCGATAGTGTTGAAGGAGGCAGAGAGGTCGAGGAGCACAAGGAAGCAGAGGAAGCCCTGATCACAGATGTTCAGAATCTCATTAGTGACTTTGACCAGGGCTGTTTCCGTGCTGTGGGCAGTGAGGAAGCCGGATTGGAGGGGTTCAAAGAGGGAATGGCGAGAGAGAAAGGAGCGGAGCTGGGACGCGACAACTCGTTCCAGGACCTTGGAGAGGAATGGGAGGTTAGAGATGAGGCAATAGCTGGAGAGGAGGGATGGATCCAAGAAAGGTTTTTTCAAGATGGGGGTGATGACGGCTGTGTTTAGGTGGGTGGGAACTGAACCCGTGAACAAGGAGAGGTGGCAGTGAGGTGAATCCTGAACATGTGATCCACAGCTTGCAAGTCAAAAATAATCATGCTGGGCTGACACTCCGCTTTAGACACCATGAATATTGCACAGAAATGGTTACCAAGTTCCACGACCTGACCAAGTGGGCATTTATAAGCCTAAGGGAGTGAGCTTCAATAGACTATAAGACCGAAGGTATCACAGTCAAGCTCACTTCTCTTCTCGCACCTTCCAGCAGGGGTCAACTGGATAACAATCAGGTGCAAGAACCCTGACTGATTATTCTTCACCCTATCTAAGGGCCATTAAGGTGAGTCCAATTGCAGAAGCGCAATTGACTCGCTGGCTAGATCAGCTAACTCAGCGCATACTAGGAATCAAACCAATGACCTTCTGGTTTGTCTGACTTGATACCACATTAATATCTTTACCTTTTAAACTTTCAGGGAGTCAGTTGTGCAGTTTTATACAAATCTGTTTATATAAAGGTTTTTAACGCAGTAATTCTGAACTATTGCATGTAAAAAATTTGAATGTGTATAACAAAACCTCTCCATCTTACCTGTGTTTCTCCTTCGCTATCATCAGGATTACCTTTAACACACATAAGACATCTTATTTGCTTTTATACTGTGTTGTGTGTAATATACAGAATCACTGATATTGGTAATAAATTTGCAATGCAATCAAGGAACTCTGATGATATCCATTAAGCACTCGAGATTTAGAGATTCAATTATAACATTATAATTCAATGGTGTGTACACATATCTCCAAATAAGCTATAGTCTCTAAAGTGTCAATAAACTAACATTGTGAATGATAATTAAAGTAACTGTCACTTCAAAATAACATGATTAAATGAATCTCGGGAGAGCAAAATAAGGGAATTATTTTACAGGGTTTTTGGGGGTCAGACAGGTATCTGACACATGTGGAAACCCATTACTTAAGAGTATGCAAACCGGACTAACAGTCCACATAAGCATGCTAGCTACAAATGTAAATTTCCCATTTGTCTTGAATTGAGCATGCACTCTCTCCCAAGAGGGATGCATCCTGCTTACCTAATTCCAGCAAGCATTAGTCTTAGGTTGGCAGGAGCCAATGGTTGGGAACCTCAGAATGTGTGTTTGGTGTACTGCTGGAGTTTAACCAGCTAAAAACATGTAGTTTCCCATTGCAAACTTCACACTGTTTGTCCAGCTAGGATTACCCTACCCATCAGGACACGGTTAACAGGAGATAACTCGGAATATTCCCTGCCTCCAGTGATTGATCTGATCTGTCCTTCCATGTCCTGTCAACGAGCCAGGCTGGCCAGTTTGTCACAAATAGTGTCGTGGTTTACTACAGATCCACATGGCTGAGGAACTAGATCACTGCAATCACCACAAAGGATTGACTCAATTCTGATAATTCTTTGCCCAAGGAGACTTTGCTCATCTCTTCCTCCCACACTCCTACTCAGGAGGATAGTATTTTGTAGTTCTAAGTCAAAATTACAGAGAAATTAATAACCCGGTGAATGCTTCTTCTTAGGCTATTTAACTTACAATCCTGATAAAGTGCATTTCTATAAGTATATCACCATTTCTGGTGAACATCTAAAACAAGATGCATTTAATTTTCTCTTTAAAAATTATTAAAAGTGTGCTTTTGCCATTTTTAAAAATAATTGGCTAATAAACAGCAAATTATCTGATCACTCACTCTGATTACTTTTGGACATTTTTGCATTCAAGGTCTTCATGATTAGAACATGTTGGTTAACAAATCTTCCAAAGGGGCTTTTGATAGAGTCTCTTACCTTCCAGGATCCAGGACAAGGGGTCATCTCTCAAAGCTGCAGCATAGGCATCAATCCCAAGTTTGCTCTCCATGTCACTTGTCATGCTATGGTATGAAGGCCTGAATAGGAAAGAAACGCAAATGGGCACTGAAGCCAGACATGTTTGTTTACATCCTCTGAAGTACACAGCTGTCTGTGTAATTCACTATTTCCAAACTGTTGCTCTTTTTATCTGATGGTTTTCTGTTTACTTTCTGACTCTGGTATGAAAAGTCATTTACCCTTGCAAATATTCAATAGGTGCCCAGTCACTCTACATTTTGGCCTTAGGTTCTCATCTTTCCAGCAGCTAAAGATGTTGTCAAACAGAACGGCTTGAGGTTTTATCTCTAACAATCTAATAGATGAATGGAACATTCACAAAAACACTTTTACAGCGCATCAACCAGACACTGGAATGCCAGAAAGTAAGTGCAATGGATTTCACTGGCTTAGATAAATTCTGCTTTGCATCAAAGACTTCAGTGTAATATGTTTGGTATTAGTTCTAAACTAACTCAATGGACGTGTAAGAAAATAACGAGATAAAACAGAAATGCATTGATGTACAATTTGAAGGAAACTAAATAAAAAGTCTTTATTTTAGAAAGCACAAAGTGACTGAAACTGAACTTAAAAACGTTGACAAAACAATAATATTATTTGTTAATATAATTCTTATGGTCAAAAAATATTGCATCGTCGACTAAACATTATTATTAAACATTATTATTTTCTCTCAAAGAACTTGTCAAACAATCAGCACTGTAATCATTAATATTAATCAGCAGTGACTCAATGACATGATAAGGCACTATATCAAATGTAGGGATTATTATTATAATTATTAAAATCATTGACATTAGGTGGATTCCTTTAAAATACAGACATATTAATGATTAATCTGCCACAAAAGAAAAATGACATTATCATTTGCGTAACGGAAATGCTACTTAATAAAATAATTGTGTTTTTTTTCTAAAAATCATATTTAGGAATATCATTTAAAAAGTCACAAAGCGATAAATTCATATAAGTGTCATATTTGTAAGATTTAAAAAAAATCAAGAGTGAGATTGTTGGTGTATTAATGTGACTGAATGAAGTAAACAAAAATGCCACGTGTTTAACTTGGCAGCATTCCGTATCTTGGTTTGACAGATAGACGAATTATAGGTTTTGCTACTCATATCTTAACCTTCCTGTGCTGCTTTATCGTGAGTAGGACATATTCATGTGTCTTTGTCACAGCTTTTGATTGCATTGAGAAACTAGATATTGACTGATATTATACATTATTTTTAACGGTTTGCCCGCTGGGAAATTATAAAGATCCCGTAGGAATACGACTATTTTTATTGGTCTCCCTGGTAAAGTGAAGCTCGGAAAATGCTGCTGTGGTTTTCTACTCCTTGCAATGTGACGAGATTGTGTTCTTCAGCATCTTTCTTTGAGCCAAATAAAGCTACTCCATCACCATAAGCCTTATTGGCTCAGCAGAAGAAACAATGAAACTTCATCTGAGACCAGATTAGGCTGGGAAAAATGGAAGGATTGTTTTCTTCTCAAACCCATTATCTTCCCTACAACATCTTGATCGGCTTTTTTAGCTACTATTACTAATTCTGCATAGGGTTGTAAGAGGCTGCTTTTTTGGCAGTCAAATTGCCCTAACCCTCTTACTTTATGTTCTGAAACAGCTTAAGCTTGTCCGTCCTCTCTTTCTATGTGTCTTTTTAAATTGGCTGATGGCGAGGATAGAAGGCTTAAAAGAAGCTGTAGTAGCCACATTTTTCCTGTTCTCCGGTCACCCACATGAAAGCTCCAGTTCTGTTTGAAGCACTTTAAATTTACACACAAACTGCAGCATTGCAAAGATATCCACAGTTCTTGGCCTCCTTGTGACCTTTCCAGTATTTGATGGTGTTTTTAATGCTTCTAGATTGGAAAATGCAAATATGATTAATCCGATGTCAACTGCATTAGATTTGTTTGCATACAAAGTGGTCCCGTTGAGTTATAAAGAGCAAATCTGCAGGTTTAAATCCCAGGGTTAAGAAACTGAGCTACAGGACAACCATCCTACAGTCTCCTTGGTTCTTAGCTGGTTTGCAAAAGGAGGAGGAATGTCTTGTTGATTTGATTTAAAAATAGATGTAATAGCTCTCAGAAGTGTAATTCCTATTTGCTGAAAACTAACAGTATTCTCTGAAAGATAAACTTTCTTGTAGATTAAAGAAAAGATTCAGTTCTATAGCCATCTTAGACTGTTTAAATAATAATCCTTGCATTTTATATAGCGCCTCATCACTTTTTCGAGACGTCTCAAAGCACTTCACAGAATATATTGTAAAGTGAATTGACTCTATACTCTATATTATGTGGGCGAAGCATGGCAGCCAATTGCATACAGCAGTGTCCCACAAACGTCGTGGATTGAGTGACCAATCTGTCAGGTAAACAGAGGTGAGTGGAGTAAGGAAACTTATCCAACATTTCATCCTCACCGGGACTTGAACCTGGGTCCTCTTGGTGCAAGGCGAGTACTCTAACCACTAAGCTACAGGACTTATGCAGAGCTGAAAAGCTAACCCCATTGCTTGAAGTAAGAGTTAATCACCACTTCACTTATGTCCAGTTTATTGTACACGGCATACTTCGATCTTTTTCCAAAGTATGAAGTGCACTGCAGAATGACTCCATATTTTGGCAAAATTGGAACTTGCACTGTAGATTTCTTTAGTGAAATTTTTCCCCACCCTCTGGAACCCAATCGCTGAATCTCTCTGCCTTGCACTCCTCCCTCACTTCTTTCAAGGCCTGTCTCAAGACCTTCCTCTTTAACCATACTTTTGGCCACTTTCTTCAACCCACTCTCCAACCCTCTTAACTCCAATTCCCAGCTCGGGTACAAACCCTTAACTGTCCAGCGCCTTGAGACATCCTTCCGACGTGAAAGGCGCAATATAAATGTAATTTGTTGTTATTGAACACTGAAGCGAGAATGGGAAACATGAAGGAGATACAAAGTTGCTAAAAAAAATTCGCACTGTGTCAGTTTCAGCTGTTATGTTGTTACTGACACTATTTGAAATTATACTGAGATCCTGTATTTTGTATTTTAGCCCAAAACCAGCATTACTGTTCAGCAGTCTTCATATAATGCTATATACGTTACAGCAGAACATTTACTACACGTATGTGCAACCCAGGGAACAACAAATCTCACCAAGGGGAAGTCAATATAGAAGTGTCTATCTGACCATTTAGTGCAGTAAGAAATACACACTGAATGTAAACGCACTGTTTGTCTGTGCAAAAATCTCAGTAATCACCTTATCTCTGTCTCACACACACTGGACAAGCTGTAATTTCATATACTGTGGGTTTATTGGACTCCTGGAAAACAGTCATCTCTCGGCTCAGTCCTAGCCAGTCAGTCACTCACCTGTCACAAGGGTTGTTCTGGCCATCAGACTGAAATAAATGAGCAGTGTCGCTGGCTGGCCTGGAGGAAGGGCGATTGCCCCCGGGTCTATCAGGTTCAAGCGTTGCAAGTGACAGGTTGCCATTGTATCCTGTCAAAGATTCCACTCCATCTAAAGACTTCAGAGTTTCTGCAAACAGAGAAGCAAATTGCAAAAATAACTACTTCATTTCAACTAAGTTGGAGGACAACACTGCTGGATTCACACAAAAAAAATTGGAGCATGTTTTTAAAGCAGCTGATGAAATCCAAACAATGCACAGCTTTAGTGAAAGCCCCAGTGTCTCAACTTCAACATTCACAAACAAAACTAGAGGATACTTTAAATTACATCTTGCTAACTCCTTTTAAAAATAGACATTTTTAAAAAATCTTTCAAAGCTATGTCAATTTAGGTTGTGTTGACAATGTTTGTGACCCAGCCATACCACAAATATTTAACGGGCAACTTTAATGGTAAAAAGAGATAGTAAACGTCACCTCACTAGATCTCAGGAGTTAAATGGGAACTAGAAGTTGTTTTTTCACTGCTGTTATTTTCTTGGTATATTTAAAAGAATGAATATGAAGCAAGTAAGTCATAAACTTAGAAATTGAACAAAAAAATTTACTACTACGTGCATTATATGGATTTCCATTAAAACAATATAACTCACCTGCGATTCTTGTTGGATAAACACTTTGTAACACATTTGGTCACGTATGCGATATAAAAAACAGACCCATTCCGTGCAATACTACCACTACTAATAATAATACTACTAATAATAATAAGTATGGTGCAATACTTCCACTACCTCCGCAGTTTATGTGAAAAGGTTTAAATGGAAACCTACAGGAAACTGGGTGGTGCAGTGTGTGCACACTGTCCTTTCATCTCCAAGACCTGGTTTGGAATCGAGCCTAGACTGATGGGATTAAAATCTCCTCTCTATGCCAGCCGTAAGGATTCTGCACAAATTGCAACAGTCTCAACCCAGTTTCTAGAAGGAACGGACACACAGCTCAAAACTGTCTATAATCTGACACTAAGTGGCATGTGTGTAAAGCAGAAAGATTCTCAGCAGGGAGTGCTCTGTGAAGTTGAGGGTTTGGACACATGGTTGACGCGGGGTAAAGGGAGCTTCTGGCTGTGCTATACCTGACCTGGGGCAGTTCAATACTGACAAAAGTGCAAAAGGTATCCCGTTACCCAGCGCTACCATTCTTCCCCTTCAGAAGGCACAAACATTCACACACACACAAAAAAAATCACAGATTCCTTTCAATTTTCAAATTCCTTCCAGTGTACAAAGCTACGATTCATCTTATTTTCGAATGATTATGTGGATTCCAACTCGTGGTGTTTTTAAAACTTCTTTTGAACTCAACGCTAACTTTAATAAGAAGCGGCTCCTCAATGGCTCTGGCGGGCATTTAGAATGTCCTGCGAGTGCGACGACGAGTTAAGCTACACCTGAATTGTTAATACAGGGTTTAATTTGCAGGACTTGAAAAAAAAACAACAGAAATGTCGAATGCTGAACAAAACCGACTGTTTCACAACGATCTGGTGGAACTCCATTCAGCCACTGGTCTCGTTTCGAAAGACTTGAGGTCATTCTGTACACAAAGCATTTTCCAGGCTCCCGGCAGATCACTATTCACCCTCATCCCCAGTAGATTGGAGTGAGACACAGCAACAATTACATTTGTATAACGCCTTTCAATTCGGGAGGATGTCCCAAGGCGCTGGACAATCAGGGATTTGCACCTGAGCTAAGGGTTGGAATCAGGAGGGGTGGAGGGCAGGGAGTATAGCAGTTGGAGGGTGACCAATAGCGCGGTCGAAGAGAAGGGTCGTGATTCGGACCTTGAAGGAGGCAAGGAACATGGTGAGGCGAAGGGACTGTGGGATGGAGTTCCAATGGGTGGGGGCAGGGAGGTTGAAGGCCCGACCACCAATGGTGGGGCTGGATGGACGGGGAACATGGAGCAGGCCAGACCCAATGAGCAGAGGGTGCGCACAGATCTATATGGAATGAATACATCCGAGTCATGGCAGAATTTGATATTTCTGAATCCCATAAATTAGACTACAATATCATATCAGATATGAAATGAGGTTACATTAAGTTGTTCAAATAAACACATGCTAGTGCAATCACTCCACCATCTGCACTGTATTACACCACATGACACTGAATCCAACTGGGGTACAATAAAGCCAAGTCAAGAAGGGTTGATGGAGGCTCACATGCTACAAGGAACAGGTCAGAGGCAATTTGTTTTATTCCCCAATAGTCTTCATCATAATATCAATTCTCTTCACAGTATATTCTGTGAAGCTCTTTGAGACGTCTTGAAGACATGATAAGGCGCTATATCAAATGTAAGGATTATTATTATTTTATTATTATCCTTATGGAATCACTGTACCTGCGGGTTCCAATGGGCTGGTTTTGAAAAGGTCAGAGTTTGAAAAGAGCAAGCACCTTATCAAGTTTGCATAAAATCCAATAAAAATAGTCTTTGTGCACAATCTTATTTTCTTAATAATAATAATCCTTGCATTTGATATAGCGCTTTTCACGTCTTCTAGATGTCTCAAAGCGCTTTACAGAATATATTGTAAAGTGAATTGACCATATATTTGTGGGCGAAACGCGGCAGCCAATTGCGCACAGTTCTTGTTCAGTCACCTGTAATGTGGTGTCTAATTTGGTGGGAAAAGACAACTGGGACAAATGCACAAGTATTGACAAATTTGCTTTATATTATACAATACAACAAGTCAGATTGGACTCCCAAATATTTCTGAACCCTTGCCCCTGCCTCAGGTCTACAGAGATGCTCGTCTGTAACCAACCAGTTGTGTACATTCTGATCTGTGGTTTAAGCACAATAACACTGAAAAAAAATGATAAAAGTAAATACTTCAAACATTAAAATAGCTTCATCATTGGAATATTAACCCTCTTCCACGAAATACAGTTGTTAAATAGAGCACAATGGAATGCACAACCAGAGGCACATTTCTTACTCCTTCCGCCTCTGTTTACCTTGCAGTAAGTAGGAACCCCTTTTGTTAGTCAATTGGCGGATTGCTTTCCGGGGCGAATAATAACCCTTCCTCAAATAATAATAATTTGGCCACTCAATCTACGACTGTTTGTGGGACACTATGTGCACAATCGAAAATGACCAATTTATTATTGTTTTGGAGGGATTATTATAAGGCGTGTGGAATAAGGAAACTTGCCCATGATAAGGCGCTATATCAAATGCTGCCCATAACCCACATCTTTGCAGCTGCTTGCAATATACAAACAAAACCCACACAGTGGGTCTCCAAAAGATAAAATAAATTGCTCAATTCAACACATTTTGTACGTGGAAGGAGATATTCTTTTTGACCTGGAGACTTATATTTGTACACAAAGTACTCTTCTAGCTCTCTCATTTAAAAAAAACATAAGTTGTATATTACAAAGCCTGCAGGTATTAGGCAAATTTAGTAAATTTAGAAAATAATCTTTCACCAACAACTCAGCCATCAACTTGCAGGGTATAGTTGTTATGCTATTAAGGGTAATATAAGGATAATGTGGTATGTTAATTTCATCTATTTAAATACACAGATTGTTTTAAATACAAAACACTCTTTTTCTAATATCCCAGATTGATAGGTAGGTACTCTCTGGAGTGGCACAAATACCAGAGTAAATGTGTGGTTAAAGTATTGAGGAAGAAAAGATAGAACTGGAACTGGAAGCAAGTATTTTGTTGAATGAAAATCCTGCTTTGTGAGGTTCTGACTTTTTTTTAATATGTAAAGTTCCTTGTGTAATGACTCTCCTGTTACCCTAATGCCCAGAATGCTGAATTCTGGAGTTCCGAGTCTCTGCCCCGAACACATACAGATTCAGATGGTGGAGAAGTAGGAAAGCAATTTTATAGGGTTTTCCACAGGAGTTGGCTGAATTGGTTGAGTCACAAAAATGTACCAATATTTACAAATCTTGGCCTACAAATAAATCCATCCTTGGATAATCCACCACCATTTCCTTCTTATAGCAGGAGAAGGTAAAACAATATGTAAATTAGATAAACTAAGAAAAACAGCTATGCTTTCTCTTTGCATCCACACACTATGTAGGTGAGACCAGAGAACATTTAATAGTAATGCTAATAATGATAATAGTGATAATAATAATAATGATGATGATGATAATTCCTGCATTTGGTATATTGGTGTTCAGCTCAGGAGGACAACCCAAAGCGTATCACGGGATTTTATTGTGAAGTGGAATGACTGTGTATTTGTAGGCAAATGCGGCAGTCCAATTCCACACAGCAATGTCCCACAAACAGTTATGAAATAAATAATCAATATTATTATGGGGGATTGTTGGCCAGGACACTGGGAGAAACTCCCTTTTGTTTTTCAGGGGATCTTTCTAATCCCCCCGAACAGGCAGACAGGACCTCGGTTTAATGTCTCATCCAAAGGTCGTCACCTCTGACAATTCAACGCTTCCCCAGCACCGCAATGAAGTGTGACCTTAGATTATGTGAATTCAAGTCTCGACGTGGGGACTGAGATTGGGATTCAGTTTCTTGCCTTGGTGGGAACCTTTACTGTCGTATTGGGAGAATGCAATTTCTTTTTTGTAAACCTATCTAACTACTACTGTTAGAATACATGGCTGGAGCCCATCAGGCTGAGGACATAGTTCAAAGAATTCCACCACCTCCTTCGATTATGGCAGTATATTTATTCTGACAATAACCAGCATGAAAATAGATTTTCCTATTCAACACTAACCACCAGATAACATTAACAAGAAATTGAATGATACATTTATCAACACTGCAGGTGGCAAAGTGCAGTAGTAATAATGGAAAGATTATTGTCACTTTACAGTAAGAAGTTATAATTAACTTGCAAAGTATTAAGCAAACGCTGGTGAAAAAAATACATTTCCAAATGCATGACTTACCCTTTGGAAAAGTATTGGCAACAAAAATGTCTCTACCCAGGTGTATGGGAATCAATCCAATTAAAAAACACTGATAATAAAAAAATCTTCGTTCTCTGTAGGCACATTTAGAGCTCAGCTGCTCAATTCACAAAATGCAGCAAATTTA